GGGGAATAAATGCATTTTCTAAATTTACACCCCATGTAAATTCACCTGTACTCTCCCTAAAGCTCTGTCCATATGATGTAACAGAATGAGACACTACCTCTGATTAAAGTACAAAGATATTTTAAAAAAGCACAATTTGCTCTGGAGGAGAATTATCCATCTGATCTTGAATGAAGACTGAGCTTTGTTTTCCAAGATTTCCTATGCACCTTTCCCTGAGGTCAATAAGGAAGCTGCTGTTTCCCAGAATTTTTGTATTGGGCCAAGTATGAAAGGCAGGAGCCATCCGTGGAGGTTTTAATCATTATTTGTAAGTGAAAAATTTAAGGATTGCAGTTAATTAAAACCCACTTAGTTATCAAACTATGACAAAAAGACCCATTTCAACCTCAATGAGGGTGAGTTACTGCCATCTGCAAATGCACCATTCAATTCTTGCTCATGATTGTAAACTTTTTGCTTAAAGCAGGTACATRCAAAAGCCAGCAGTGACACAAGGAAGGAGCTGTGCAGGGAGCCTGGAGCCAGAATAATTCATCAATTCCATTATTAGGGATTCATTTCTTCCAAATCCGAGCCCTCAGGAGGAGGAAACCAGAGAAAAAGCAGAATTTAATGATGAATTTAGTGGAATGTAGAATTTAATGATGAATTTAGTGGAATGTAGAATTTAATGATGTCTGTTTGGTCTTATCCTCTGAAGGAAAAAGGCTCACAGGAGATGGCTCAGGACAGGGAACAAATTACACAATAATCCCAAAACAACGGGAAATGTTTCTCCTTCACCTCTCCATCCTCATCTTCACTTGGCCACAAATTTAGTCCAAAAAGCTGTGAACACACAAGGTCAGGCTCTGCAGCTGTGCTCAAAYATCCCATCCTGCAAACTTATCTTGTGTTTCAGAAAATCTCTGATCATCCTTCTAATCTGTCCTGCCCAGGACATTCATCCTTCATCTAAAGGCTGTAAGAACTCAGGGCTACCTCCAAAAAAACCACTGCATTTCCCATAAACATAGGGRAAATCAGGAGTTAAATAAGTGGGKTTTTTATATTTAAACAAGCTCRACATAAAGCCAAAGAGGCAGAAGAAAATAATCTGTCTGTTCAACACAAAATCACTGCCAGGAAAATACGGATTTGGAAAAGGTCAGAAAAATTTTTGGCAATACWGGCATGTGGAAACACTGATCTACAAAAAGGATATAAAACACTTCCATCACAAATTGTGCTCCTCAGAGATATTTGCTGYGAGAGAATCACTGCTTTTAAGGTCAAAATTAAATGTTCCAGGCCAACTGCTCACAGAGTCTGCAGTTCTGTAACACTTAGTGCAAGAAACAATGGGAAGTTTTAAGGTCATCCCTTCTTAYACATTTATTTGCCTTTGAACATCAAATAATTAAGAACAGCATCAATTGAAAAACAAACCTGGAGCCTTTGATACAAATCTCAATACAGACTTTTCTCCAAAAGGATCCATAGTGCAGCCCCTGTTTTAGCAGAACCCTTTTTTTTTTTTTTATAAATCCACCACAGTTCTGATTCTGCAAAAGAGCAAATGCTGGGCACGTTACAAATATTCCCTGTAATTCCACTGACTGATAARTAATCTTGGTGGCTTTCACATCTTTTGCTAAAGAGCATTTCTTCAGACCTCATTTCCCTTTCACTTGACCAAAATAGAAAGATTAAGGTAAGCCATTTACAGCTCGGGAAACGAAAACTTATTTCGTGTTATTTTTAACCAGCTACACTGAATTTAAAACCATTTCCAGAAATTATGCAGCAACATTTCTGCCTCCCACAGCTGAAGTCTGGGCATTTTTTTCCCCTCCCTGATATTAATGTGTTTATCCAACCATAATTCCATTAGCATTATGTAACATAGACAATCTTCTTAGGCATTTTATCATTRTCTCACCCAAAATTCACCCCCTGCACACACCAACACTGACTGTGCTGACACACAGGAATTGYCTGATGCAGAGCAGAGCTGACACCTTCAGCTGCTGAGCATTTCTGCTGAATCCTCAGCCAAAACCTCTCAAAACACAACAGCCTCACTGGCCAAGGCAGCTCTTCCTAGCACTAAATCATCCTAACACTTGTGATTCTTCCTCTAAGAAAAAAAAAGAATTTAAAAATATATTTAATGTTTATCAACGGTCTGCTTCTCCTGCGTGCTGAACACAGTAAATACTATTTGCAGTTATGGCTGTAATTTGACATTAATTCCTTAATCTTCTTAAGGCCAGGCAAGCTTGTAGATCATTATGAGGTTATTTAGGAGAGCACATCTCGAGTGCTACATGAAGTGTATATTTTCTTAGGAAAATAAGTAAACTCCTGTTTTTATGTTGTCATTCCTSCACCTGACAAATCAATCAGTTCTCCTTTGAGAGCAGTGAGGAGATATCCTGTGAGCTGTTATTGCTGCCTAATCCTCTTTGGGCTGGGACAGGAGCTGCTAACGAGATTGAGAGGGCTCAGCAGGACTGTGACCTTTCCTGCCATGCTGACATTAACGGAGCTCCCTCTGCTCTCACCGCTGGGTCCTGGCAGCTTCAAACTCTGGGTCCTGGCAGCTTCAAACCCTGGGTCCTGGCAGCTTCAAACTCCGGGTCCTGCCCAATTCAAACCCTGGGTCCTGTCAGCTTCAAAACCCCCGAGTCCTGCCCGAATCAAACCCCAGGTCCTGCCTGCTTCTGCTTCAAACCCTGGGTCCTGTCAGCTTCAAACCCCGGGTCCTGCCCAGTTCAAACCCTGGGTCCTGCCCAATTCAAACCCTGGGTCCTGTCAGCTTCAAACCCTGGGTCCTGTCAGCTTTAAACCCCGGGTCCTGCCCAATTCAAACCCTGGGTCCTGCCCAAATAAAGCCTGGATCAGCCCCAAGGCCTCCCTGTGCCAGGGCAGCAGCAGCACAGCCCACCCAACACCTTCTCCACAAAAATCACACCATAGCTCCCAAAATTAGTTTGGTGAAAAACAAGATGTGCAATAGCAGCTACAGCTACCAACAAAAGAGTTTTTTGCTAGTTTTACAGTCACGAGGCGTTTTGTAATTAAATTGCTAATGTTGCAGAACCTAGTTTTGGTCAAATCTACATCTAATTACATTCATCAATTAGCCTGTAATTGCATTTTGCTATTTTTGATTCCTATGACTTTGCTGGCTATATTTGGCAATCTGATATTCCCTGGTTTGGGTTCCTGGGAGGGGGTGRATCAAAGTGCCAGACTACAAAAGAGGCTGAATGGTTTGAAATGTCCTTCTGTTTCCAAATTTTGGTTTACCTGGAAAACAGAACATGATCAGGGGGACACATGGACTGCTCACAATTTACACAGACTGAAAAAGGATTCAAACACTGCCCTGCAACACTCTCATTTGTAAGTATATCTAAATACAGAAGTGAGCTCCTCAAACTGTTTTTTCTGCCTCTCAAAGCCTTGTACCCAAATGATTGCTGTAATTGCAACTGAGATAATCTACCAAAATAAAGGAAATCCCATTCCGAAATTTCATTTGCACTGTGAACTCATCAGTGGAAAGAATGACATTTCWGTACCTTTTCCTTCAAAACACCAGTAGAAGGAACACACAGTGAGGAATATTTTGCTTCAGGGTTTTGCCTGAAGATCCAAGACACAAATAATTATAAAAACAAACTCAAAGTAGGAGCTGAGTAGGAAGCATTTTTTGTTGTCACGGAAAGCTGGAACCCAAAAGCAAACAGGCAGCCAGGCATGGATCATCAACCTCCTCTCTGCAGCATGTAATTAAACAGACAACTTTTATTTCCAGTATCAAGASACAGCTGGGTCCATGAAACAAGGAGCTAAAACTTTGCCAGAGTCCCCACAATGACTTAACGAAAGCAGAGTGTTTGTTTCTAAAAATAAAGTTGCAGATGATCCCACTACGAGTTCTCTGCWATTCCCCCACAAGAGTCATCAGAACTGTGGGATTGCATGGCTACAAACCCACAAAGCATGTCAGACTCAGCACACTTCAGTTAAAAAAACAAAAAAAATAAAAGGTAATTTTAGTGAATGAGCAGAGTTTGGCACTGGAAAATTAAATCCCTGCCCTTTGTTGGAGTCGGTGCCATTGCTGAGGGTGCTTCACCCATGCAGGGCAAGTTGCACCCATGGGTGCCAAAAGGATTTTATTGCAAGAAACAAGTGGGATCTTCTCAGCCACTGCAGACTTGGTCTGCTCTGCAGTGGCTCCTGAATTWCTGCCAGGACGCTTTAGAAATTATTCCCCAAGCAGAGAGCCTTAAGCTTGTCAAAGTTCACCGAGATATTTATCCCAACTTCCTTCCCAAAGAGTCACGATTCCTGTTGAGATAGTGAATTACTCTGGCTGCACTTCACCCACAGAAATTCTGCTTTCAGTGATGAGCCAGCAGTAATTGTAACCGAGAAAAACTAATCCCACTTTGAGAAGTMCTTTTAATGAATTTCAGCTCTATGTGCCAATTCTGGTTAAGAACCCAATAACTTTGGTGCTGCAGCTGATTAGGATCCAACCAAGTTGGATTTGCTGCCATTTACATTTCTCACAAGGTCCTAATAAGATCAAGTGTGATCCAATAACAACAAATACAAGATTCCTTTTTTTTTTTTTCCACCAGATACCACAAAAGAAATCTGAATTATTACCTAAGGTAGCAAACAAGTCAGCACGCCTTCAGCTGTGGTTAGAACCGAAACTGTCAGGCCTCACTTAGCACGTACAGCTCTGCCTTTGCATATTTTCATGTTTGTCTCACAGCTTATTAAGTTTTGCAAACAAAAGCAGTTGTGCTCTTGCCAGCAGATTATCGCCTTTTATTATCACGGATCATTCTAAAACATCAATGTACCTACATAAACAAGGGACTTGAACCGCCAGTGTCTCCCGGCAATTGCAGGGGGATTTTCTTTGTATCAGCAGCAGGCACACAGGAGTGTTTGCAATCTCAGGATGCTGTTTTCATCTGCCATGACAGCTGAGGCTGTGTAGATACCAAATCCACAGTAAATGCAGCAAGCGTTTCTTTTAATAAACTGCCACAGAAAAAAAAAAAANAAAAAAAAAAACGATTCAAGCTGAGGACATATTGATGGGTACAAAATCCTGGAGGCATTATGCAGCTCACACAGGCTCATGGATCAGTATTATTGCAGCAACCAGTAGCCGTCAAAGGCAATTACCCGGGGGAGAAGGGCCGGGATCCCGCAGATGTCGGAACTGAGCGCCGGAGGGGCGGCAGCGCTGCCGAGCTGTCACAGCCAATTACTGCCAATGTTTTATTTATGGCAGGATACACCTGATCGGCCGACAATAAAGCCATTTTAGGAAAGGATGATTACAAAAAAAAAAACGGAATGTAAAATGGCAACAACTGGCGGGGAGATTTCGGCAAAGGCCGGGACACGGCGAGGTGACAACATCTGGCTCCAGATGTGCCCTCCTCATCTCTAAATCTCTGACAAAAGGCTGGCGTGTCCATAACTCCTCTCAGAGCCAGCGAGATGTGAGTCCATCTACGACAAYGGATTTAAGGAATTAGATTTGATATGGAAGGAAAGCAGACGGGGGAGAGGGGGAGCAGAAAACACCGAGGCAATTTGGAGATAAGCCCACAGAACATCCTCTCTGTGCAGCACCAGCCTTTCTTTCAGTTGCCCAACTCAACTGACAGAAGAATTGGGTTATCTACAGGAAAAATACAGAAATTTTAACATTCTCCAAGGTTTGAGAACCTGCTTTGTACTTATCTGTCTTCATCTTACAACCTACTACCTGCATTTTAAAGTTAAAACAGATTTAAGTGGACTCAACATCAGATCCCAAAGAACATACTGATTTTTTTTTCACCCCCACAGATATATAAACTGTGTCTGGGTTTATTCACAGCAATTTTCATTAGTTTCAGGAACAGGGCATTGTACAGAATGGCTGTGAATGAACAGATCAGGCCTCAGCAGGTGACTGTGCTGGGGAAATCCCTTGGGAGATTTCCCAGGAGAAGCTGGATCCCCCACCAAACTGGAAGTTGGAATTTTGAGAACATTTTCTTCAATTATTTTGCTGCCTCGAGTTCCAACAGCCACCATTTCCTGTCCTCTCTGCTGAAGGAGGTTCCATGACCCCAYTCCCAAAGACACCACAGAGAGAATCAGAGAAGGTTTGGTGATTCCACAACCCCTGCTCTGGAAATGTGATTTCTGTGAGTCACCTCTAAAACAAACAACAAGCCCAAGTGGTTTGTGCCATTTTTTTTTTTCAATCATGGCCTTTTCAAGCACCAGAGCTAAGCTGAAAGATATTCCCACTATTCTGTAAACTTGAAAATCTACGGAGAAACAGCAGAAAGAAACTGAAAGCCCAAAKATCCAGGAACTGAAAAACCCAGGACTACTTTTAGCACTTTAAAAGGTATCGAGACAGGCAAGACACAAGAGAATTTGGGTATGGCCTTCCCTGGGAGGAGACTGCAGAGAGTCCAAATAATGGGCATTTCAGCCCTGAAATCAAAGTATGAAAGGAATGGCTGTTGGGTGCCAAGCTGAGCACTGGATACTCGGATTCTCCCCTCCCTCTCACATATCATATATGCAATATTCTTCAAAGGCTCGTTTTGTTCACAAGGCAGACACTGTGCAAGTACAGCTGCAGAATAAGGCGGCGTTTTCACACAAAAATGCACTCTCTGTGTAGTTTTGTGTGCACTTTGATACATTTTTTAAAATAATCTGTCCTGTAGCTATTCAAAGGAGCTACACAGGTATCTGCCAATAAATTTCATCTTTATTCTTTTCTCTCCAAATGCACGCCTTTGAATTTAATCTAACTGTGCTCCCATCACCCAGCGTATTTATGTGTGTGATGCTGCAAACATATTTAATCAAGGCAATATTACCCACCGTAGTGCCTGAGCTCCCAAAGTTCCCTAGAGAATACATTGGGTTTGGATTTTAATACCTGACAGGGACACCCCACCCCTTAAAAAAAAATAAAATCAGGAATATAGCAGATCTAACAGAATATTTCACAATGGAGTTGCACAGTGTATGCACTCAATCGCTCCATTTCCCAGAAGATTCATTACAGTTACATTAGAAAGTCAAATCAGGCAATTCTGCAGTCTGGTGAAAGCTAGCATATGAAAGCAGGTTAATACAAAAGAATTTCATTTTAAATAGAGGACATTTAGGACTTTTAAAAGCAACATTATGATAAAAATTTCAGGGTGTTTATTCTGGCTTCAGAGCACGCTTTTCAAGTCTTGTTTCAATGATGGAGCTGATTTTCTAAGRAGAGAGGGAGGCAACGTTTGCTCTCCAAGGTTTGCCATCTGAATTCCCCTGGAGCTGGCACAAGATGGGTTTGGGGACAAATGTCCTGCTGCCCTCAGAGCCAGGACAGAGCTGCCACCAACTCTGAGCCCAAAAACACCCAGTGCAGCAGCCAGCACCTCCAGGGCTGAGAATTCCACACTGACAAATCCCAGGGGASTGCATCCCAGACAAAGGGCTGATTAACTACAAGATACAAAGCATTTGAAGTTTTCTGCTTACCTTACAACTGAGCTATTATATCTAATTATTACCATTTAGAACCTTGCCTCCATCTCAGCCAGGAAAATGCAAACAGTGAATGTAATTACTCACTAAACTAATAATGTAAGACCTGATTGACAGGATGGAAGAGAAAAATGGGTTCAAAGCAGTTTTAAGTTTAGTATAAGCTCAGCTGAATGAAGATAAACAATTTCAGAGCCATTCTTCACTACAAGCAAGGCACCTCCAAACAGCCAGGTCACACACAGTCATCAGAAACATCAAAAACCCCCCAAAACACMAAGTGGYTGTCACAGCACCAGCCTTGGCAGCATTAATGATGAACTTCATGCACCCCTGCCTATGTTTAATTTAATACAAAACCAAATGCAGTCAAAACATCTGGTGCATTATTGATGGTTACCGTGATAAATGAGATTTGACATTTCACAGGAAYTCATTAGATATTCTACTTACACCCCACACTTGAAGTGTTTCTGATTTTACATCTCTTTGGAAAACATCCATTGTGTGGATATTGAACCGATATTTCTGACCCCAATGTTGTAAAGGAATCGACTTGCACAGCTAATTACAAATACTGAGAATTGAAGAAGCACAGATTAGTTTATATTTTTACCCTYTASTAATCCAAATGYTCCTGAAATCCAAGAGAAATTTGGTGTTGTCCCATTTGAAGGGCAGAGATCCCAAGGAGTGGCAGTTTGGATGCTGAACCTGCAGCCTTTCTGCATGTCTGCATGAGATAATGCAGCAACAACTGCACTGCAGGCCAAGCAAGAACTGCCTCCCTTTCATTTCTCACATCTTGACTCAAGAGCTGCACAAAAAGTTATTAAAATTAATGCAAACTATCATAACTCTGTCTTTTTATTACTGGTAATATTCCTTCTAAAATATTAGTCTCCTCGGCTGAACCAGCATGTCTTTTTGAAAATTGTCTTTGAAGATCAGAAACTCCTTAGCATAAAAAGTGAAACATGCAATCATGTTAATTTGACAAGGTAAAGGGGGAGGAAAAAAATCACTTCAGCTTAGTATTTCTGAAACTCAGGCTATTCTTTCATTTAAAAGAAAAGCATTTTTCTTTCCTGGTTCCCACTAYAGTGACTGATGTGAGGATGTGACAMAGGCTCTTGGTGCTCTGAGTGTTTTAAAACCAAAACAAGAGAGTTTCAAAGTTGGCAAGTGGCCAAAGCAAACACCTCCCATCTTACATGAAATTACAAAGTTTGAATAAATTGCTGAAGCTCAAACAACCCTGTGAGTACTCATCTCTCCTGGTTTGCATAATCAGTACCACAGCTAGATATATATATATATATATATATATATAAATATATGTGCATATATATACACAGGGAGGGAGAGGCAGGAGCAAGAGCTGCAGCACATGTGTTGTATAAACAAGAAATTCCTGCTGGAATTTCTCACTCTTCCTTCCGAAGTTAAAKTGAGCTGCGTGCCCAGCCAAAACACCACATTACCCAGTTATTGTGTCAAAACCAAAACCAGAGCATCCACACATTCCCAGGTTTTGTATCAAGAAACCCCACAACCCAAGAACTTSATGAGCTGGCAGAAGGATCACAGTTTTCCAATATCCCAGCACAGTTTATGGTATCACTTTGTACATGTGAATGTTATATTCTGCCATCATTTGTTCCTCCCCTCTGCTTTGCAGCAGGAAAAGCCTGGCASAGCCCATTTCTCACTGCTCCTTGTACCATCCGTGTTCCCATTCCTGTTCCCAAATATTTCTGGGCACCTCTGCAGTCAATAATGGATGGCAGAGCTGCAGAACAGCACCCTGAGAATCACAGATTTCACCGAGTCCCCTGGGGGACAAGCTAAATGCCAGCATTCAAGGATGACKGGGATGCTGGTGAATAATCCTATTTCTCTGAGGCTCTAATTGCAGAGGAATTCCCTTGGAAAGGAGGTGTTCTACCTCCCCACACACGCTCAGCTTTCCTCAGGACAGATATCCACACAAACACAAACCCATCCTGGGGGAGCTCAGCGCTGCTCCAAACACCCAAACCCAGCACTGACACAGCCCCATTTGCAGGAGTGCACAGTAACCTCCTTTTCATAATTGCTCACTCCATTTTTAAAAGCATGTTCCTCTCCCTTACAGTTACAGAATGATTTCAAAAGCATGAACCCATTAGACATTTKCCTCAGTCTGCCCTCCACAATAGCCTGGAGAGATAAAACTCTCATTTGTTTCCACAGAGGCCCTATTGATTCTGCTGTCACAGAATATGACTATTCTCTCCTCACGCTGCTTTTCAGAACAGAGCATTCTGAAATGCTGTGGAGCTGTGCTTTTATTGCCCTGCCTGTCTCCCACAGCAGCTCTGGAGCTGTGATTCCTCACACCACCACTTCTCCATCCCAGCTGAGTTTCCACAGCAAAGCACAGATAAATCTCCTTCACACCCACCAAAAGCCAGGAGAGTTCATGCAGAGCAGCA